GGCTAGATAAATTCATCCCTACTCCAATGACACTTGAATGTCCGAGGTCGTAGCTCCCTGTCCGATCAGATAGACCTTCATTATGACATTCTTCAAGGCTCGATACTAGGACCGCAGCTATTCCTAATGTTCATAAACGACCTCGCTGGAGTGTTGATATCAAGTTTCCTAGTTTGTTGACGATTTCAGGATTTGGCTGGCAGTCAAGCGAGGTGATGGCCACGTAGCACCGCAAGCCGAGCCCAACGAGGCTTATGAGATGTCGGCTCAATAGGTGCTTGCGTTTAACCCTGTCAAAAGCAAAGTAATGAACATCCACCATCAGAACGCCTAAAAACATCGTTTAGCCGAACATGTATTGCAGTGCACCTCACATGAAAGGGATCTTCCGGTGTTCATGCAGGATGATCCCGCGTACTTGTCGCAAATGCTAAATGCTTACATGAGGTCACATGTGGAATACGCCATCCAGGTGTGGCACACTTGATTAAAACATGGTCTCACAGCTCATTAGAATTGACAACGAAGGGCAGCATAAAAGTTTGAAAGATTGCTTCACCTTCCTCTCCAATTGGGACTAAAGACGCTGGAAGTATTCAACAAACAAGACCGACTTCTGTGAGGTCATCTCATGTTGGTGTTTCAAATCCTCAATAATCGCAACAACCCATACTAACGCTTACTGAAACTCAGACGCAGTACCACATTGAGAGGCCTCCATTTGAAGATGGCAACACATTATATCTGGTCGAAATGCCGCCGGAACTTTCCAGAATTTTGTCTTTCCAGCCGCGGAACTTACTTTCCTATTTTGTCATAGTTGCTCATACGTTGTCCTAATTGAAAACTTGAGTTAATGATGTGTTACACCAAATCCATTACACGATTCAACCCAATCATATAAAATGCGAAATGCACTAAACAAAGTATATGCTCACGTAAACTTTACGGTAAGTCAACAACTAGGTGTCATTTTTGCTACACCATTTTTACTTTCCTCCTTCACCTCCGGAAACAGACGTATTGCTCTTTTTCTACGTGATAAATCCATTGTTCCGGTGTTCACTCGAGAGTCATGAAAGCACAATGCTAACGCGCACCACGCTCGACGCTTAAGTCGACGTGCGCTGGTGCCTTCGACCACCGTACTTCGGTGTCACGTTCGTCCGGTGGCGTGGTTGGCAACGCGTTTGAAATGCTTATTGCATGCACTTTGGCAGATAAGTTTATGAGGTCGAGTTGACCCTTTCACCGATGTGACCCAATGACATTTGCTTATGACTGCGGTCACTGAATCACGATTGCTCTAACTTCGTCTTGTACAATGAAGCAACTGCGGAAACCTTTGAATTAAATGGTGATCACGACGGCCGATTTCAGCAAGTTTCTGTGCCGTTAATCAGGAACACAAGTAAAAATTTTAAATTGTTAGCTTATTGAAATTTCTTGAATGTGGTCTTTTAGAGATAAGTATTATGCAGAGATCCTACCGATTTAGAGTGCAGGTAGAAATCAGAACATGTTCCCATTAGCCGCCTCTAGGTTTGAGGTCGTGCAGCCAACCACACTAGGAACAAGGGAGATTTCTCACTTGTAAGGACTCTTTCACTTACATTCAGCAACAAACCCGTAGTTTGCTGAGTGGTTGCGTCAAGTAGTTTTGAAAGTACGGCGAGGTATGTGCTACGCTGTTAATACGATGAGCGCAGTCTCCTAAACTCGAATTAACGTGTCAACCTGATGTTCCTCAAAATCTACACTTTACTTAGAGCAAATTTAGTGCAAATAATTTTCTTCGTTGACTGTGCAAGTCGAAATTATACACGTTTTGTTCCTATTCTTCAATACTCATTCACATTTAGTCTCACTCCTTGCCAGAGAGTAGCGGGCCCTGTTTCTCTTGTCCCACCCTCAGCTTTATCCAATTTCACTTTTACCGCAGTTACTATGTCAAAGAACGACTTGTCCCTGCGGATCCATAGTTCTCTTGGGGTCGATAACGTTCGACCGAAGACCATACTGGTAGCAGCCAGTTAACTGGCGGAAACCCTGCCATATTCTGTCAGAACTGTATGGAGGAGAATCATGTTTTAACAATATGGAAGCGAGGAGTCATCTACTCATAAGGGCAGCTGCACTGACCCAAACAATTACCTTCCGAGAAAGTCACATCCTGTGCTTTCCAAGCTTATGCAGTCTATCCTCGTTGATACACTCATGCAGTATCAGGAAACTCACAACAGGATAGCACCAGATCAACACGCCTTCCGATACAAAAGCTCATTGGCTACGAACTTGCAAATTTCATGCAATAGCTGGACCGAAACAATTGATGGTGGAGCAGGAGCCGGTGTCAATTACCTGGATTTCGCAAAAGCGTTTGATCTATAAAACCACCGAATTTTTTTACATATACTTCAGCACTATGGCATTAGCTAGGCAATTTCCTAACAAACGCCATTCAGGGGTGAAAATACGAGAATCCCTGTCTGATAATTGTTGTGCAGTGCGGCGTACCACACGGCTCGGTGCTCTGGCCTCGGTTATTACTAGCGAGGGAAATTACTTCCGAATTCCTATTCTTCGCGGATGATATCAAGTTATGGCAAAAGATCAGAGAACCGAAAGACCAAGAAAGGCTCCAGCTTTACCTCAACATTATTACAACCTGGTCAGTTTTGAATACTGTAGCGTTCAATGTGGAAAAATGTCACGCTGTTCAATTGCACCATAGGCGTGACTACGTGTATAGGTTTGCATCAAATGTATTGCAAAGCACTTCTCAGGAACTGGACCTTGGGGTGCTCATTCAAAGTGACCTTAACTGTTCAAAGCAGTCAGAGGCAGCTGTGAAGAAAGCCAACCAGCATGTCGGCTTGCTGCGGAGAGAATTCGAAGTTTCGACCTATCCATCTTCCCCATGACGCACAATTCTTACGAGCGCCCACTCGCTGAATACGCCATCCATGCTTAACAACCTTAGTTGAAGTTTAACTTAGAATTGCTAGCAAAACCACAACGCACGGTTACGAAGAATGTCAAGCGCCTATGAAATCTCTCCGACCATCAAAAGTTGAAATCACTGGGAGTTTTCACTGGCCGCTACCGAAGGCTGCGCGGTGATCACATATTAGTGTACCAAATATAGTATGACCGCAGTCAAGTATGCCGCCACTTGTTGAAACTCAGCCATAACACTAATCTCAAATGTATCTCACTGAAATTGTGTGCACAGCATAGCCGCCTGGTATGACGGCAGAAGTATTTTTCGCTTCGGATTTGCCAACGCTGAAACTTTGTTGTTCCCCCCCTCCCACCATTATGGATGTTTTCAAAAGAAAACGATTGTATGTTGTCTTTGGCCCTAAACATTTCGTTGTTTTATCAGTGCTTGTTTGGACTAGATTAATTATCAATTTAAGCCGGATTAATATTTCACAGAAACCTGAGAAAGCGCTGGTGAAGTGAGTATTATTGTTTTTACTTTTCTCACGGTGTGTATCAAATATAACTGCCCGCATGTTGCCTCGTCGTTCGCATTCAATTCCCACTTACACTACTATGATTCAGCAACGTATTTGCAAGATAAACGCCCAAACACACAACTCGCATATCTCTTGATTTTGTAGTTTAACCAGCACCATCCTGCTGTAATTATCAAGCAACCGCTCTTTTACTCAGCATAAATCATTGTTCATTGCAGGGTAACTGTTAGGCGTATTAACTTTGTCTGCGTGATATATCCATTGTTCCGGTGTTCACTCAAGGGTCATGAAAACACAGTACTAACGCGCACCACGCTCGACGCTTAAGTCGACGTGCACTGGTGCATTCGATCATTATATTTCGGTGTCACGTTCGTCCGGCGGCGTGTTTGGCAACGCGTCCGAAATGATTATTGCATGCACTTTGGCAGCTAAGTTTATGAGGTCGAGTTGACCCTTTCACCTATGTGACCCACTGACATTTGCTTATGACTGCGGTCGCTGAACCACGATTGCTCTAAATTTGTCGTGTGCGTTGAAGCAACTGCGGAAACCTTCGAATTAGATAGCAATGCCAACAGCCGAATTCAGCAAATTCCTGTTACGCTGATCACAATGAAATTTTTTAGCTTATTGGAATATTTTTAAAAATAATATCTGTTTTGGAATATTGCCATGTGCGGATCCTACTGATTTTATTTGCAGATAAAGATCTTTAAGACCCTAGGTTTCGTACTTGTGCCTCTGTTTGCTATTCACTGCCAGTGGGTTTGGGGTCGTGGGACCATCGATGACACACAAGGGAAACTTCCCACAAGTGCGGATTCTTTTACATGCACTCTGTAGCAAAGCAGTTGTTTGCCGAGTGGTTGCGTCAAATGGTTTTTATGTTGCGACAAGTTATTTGCCATGCCGTAAATCGGAGTAGCCCAGCCACCGTTTAACGTAACAAGCTCGGCTTCATTAAATCCTACATTTTTGCTAAAGGCAACGTTGGTGTAGATAATTTAATTCACTGACCGTGTATGATAATGTTTCCTTCCCATTTTCCAGCACTCAGGGTCGTGACGTTGAGTAATTTTAACTTGTGTGATCGAGCCAAATGCAAATGTGGAGGTTTTATGTAAGGTAGCCTAGGATGCTCCCGGGCAAAAGTGTTCCATGTGCTTTGTCAAGAGAAAGGCAAACGGTGAATCGAAGAATCACCTTTCCTTTTCTTCAAGAGCATCTGATGCGCTTCGCAGATTATTTATGAACACCAGCGCAACCTATTGCTATATATGATATTGCCCGTTCTCGGGATGATTATTCATTGAAGATTTGTCTCCAGCTTTGCCGATCGAAGTCCCGACGAATGAACTGTTTAGGAAGTGCAGTCCTAGCTCTATACAAACTAATCAATTAAACAAGCACATACCCGTATTTCGGGCAACGCACATTTTGCAGTGCGACCTCAGTGTCCAAAGTTGATTGGTTTTTCCAAGGACATGATCAAAGCGCCTAGATTAAAGTGTCATGCCACTTCTTGCTACTCATGTCCTCAACCCAAGCCTTCATACCATGGGACGCTCCTATGGGTGTTTGATCAACTTCATGCGAGCATTTCTGATAGTTTACAACATATTATTCCTGGTAAGTTCTCCCTGAACAACCATTGCTTTGCTTATTATTTTTTCGTAGTTCGTTGGAATAGCTTTTATGGCGGTTGGCGTATTAATGGTCACTCAATATCGGGGATACACGAGAAGTCTCGGTCCGGATTTGTCCGTTATTCCAATGCTGCTGGTCGTTCTCGGCGTGGTGCTCATTTTGCTGTGTGGCATGGGAATAGCTGGTGGAGCATTTACTCATGGATGTCTGCTCTTTTGTGTGAGTTTATACGTGTAAACAAACTAGTTTCCACCTGGGTTTTATGCGGCATCTAAACACAACAATTTATTTCATGCAGAAGACTGGGAGTTAGACGAAACGGTTTGTTTTAGCTTCAAATCCTTGGACTTGAGTTTTGTTTTAGGCCACTATAAGTGTAAGTCTTTGATGAATGGTTAAACTGCTACCATCTTTATGACGTATCGACCAGTTAAACATGAGAAATCATGACATTAGGAATCCAGTTTTTTCACTGTGCTTCTTAATCTCAGTCGCTTCACATAAAACTGCCCATCGTGTTCTAAGAGTAATGACATAATCTCATTTCACCTCTATCAACTAACTAAACAGTTGCACTTTCTCATAGTATAAAACAGAAACCCAGTAGCAAATGAGTAAATCATACTGGTCGTCAGTATGGCTTGCCGGAATTATTTCTACGCCTCTGCAAGTCCTGACGGTGTACCACTAACTATGGTTGCATTGATGTACTGCGGGAAAACCACACAGGTTCTGTTATATTAAGGGGTATTAATTTACAAAGATCGTATCCTTTTGTTCCACTTGCTCTGCATAAATAAAGGGGACTGTCAGCCCTGTTGCGTCAATAACCAGGGCGTAAATTAGACTAATCCTGCAATTCGAGGGCAAAGTTTCTTAACATATTCACTGCCGTCCTCCATTAACTATATTTACTGCAAAAATGTTTGATATTCGCCACCACTTGGTAATTGATTTCGTTTGTTTTGTGGTTCTCTACTAGGAAGCATAGTGGAGCGTTATACCTGGACTGATAATCCGAATCCAGTATTCCTTTTAATACTTACGAAAACATACACTAATTGTGGTGCCTCCGTGGATAATTTGAAGAATGGATTGCGGAGCCGTAGCTTAATAACAGTTAGGATTTACTGTGAAGTGAATGTCGGTTGTGTCAATGGTTGCAACTGGTAAATGAAATAACTAAATGGTAGGTGCTGTCTATTCGCAGCACTACGATAAAACTGGACTTCTTTTATTCGGACTATTCGGGTGGGTTGCCCTGCACTGTCAAACGCTATATTCAAGCATCCCACAGTAAATGTAAACCAGAATCGATAACATTTGGAGGCTTAAAGATTAGTCATAAGTTGGCCGATAACTTTCAATTAACAGATATTTATCAAGCGCACGACAGTGCATGTTTGTTTCTGTTGTCACCATTGCTGTCCAACATATCCGTTGGTCGACTGTAGCATCTGCATAAACCTGCAGTTAACCCTCGTGCCTAGCCAGTACTCAAGTGAATTTCCATCACCTATGTCACAGGAGCTGTTTGGTACCCTTCACAGATATATTCATACACTGCGTCAGGTGGATCACAGTGTTAGCGTGTAATGTCTTACCTACAGTGCCAAAACTTTCTAGTCCTTCTGGTAGATATAGCACGTCGATATCAGCAGAACGGCAAACAAGAGCAGTCGCAAGATCCGACTGCATTGGTAACCCAGACGGACGAGTATGTATATACCGTAAGCGGGTGGGAAGGATTGCTCTTGTTGAATGCTGCAATTAGGTATCAAGACGACATAAATTTGTGTTGTTCCATCGTTGATGAAAATGTAGTGGAATAATGTCATTAATTCCCACGCTTTAACAAAGTAATCCAGTAATATAATATACAGGGGCCATACGCTTAAGCTGAAAGTCGCAAAGTGGGCATCTAAAAATTCGCTGAATTCTGATAGTGAATTTGTCTCGACTATTATCTGGCAAACAGCTCCGATAATTCGCTCTGACACAAAAGACAGAAAGTAAGCTACTCACTTGGTATTCGATACTGCAACATCGAAACGGCACCTGTGTGTGCTGACTATGGCGCGGAAGTAGAGAAAAGGGTTCGGCGTAAAGGCTTAAGTTGTCACCCAGATCAAATATCAGGTAGGTCACAATTGGCCCATCTCTTAACTGACGATACAATAGTGTGTACCGTCCTAGTGTATTGCATCGGTCTTCGTGCGACATAGGCCGAAGACTGCACCTGAGCCTGGTAGCCACCTTCTTAACCCTCGCCAGATTTTGCACCTCGACACGGGTGATCCGACAGTCGGCGGGTAAGCTGTAATCTAAAACTGGTCTTACGCTAGAAGAGAGGAGGCAAGTGGTAATTTATTCAAATCAAGTGTAGGGGCTGCGTTGGAATGCTCATGATATGTATAACCCATTACGTTTTAACTGGCTGTTGATGTCCATAAGCTACAACTCGCAGATTGAGAGTGTGCATTGGCCTTACTGAGATTTTGTGGAATGGAGCGCTTTGCTGGTCAAGGGTGTACAGTGGCCCTTCAATACTCATCCGTTCTGATTTGTCAGTCGATTCAACAACGTTGTCGCTTTTTGGTACATTTCTATATTCGGTAGATGGGACGTCACTTTGTCGCCAAGCCATGAAGCAGTGAACGTGAGAGTATATGCCCTAGTATTGCTGGTACTCACCAGTGGGTGCGAGTACCGCGAGGCTAGCCCGCTTCAAATGGAGGAAGAAAATCTAACCCATTCGTAACCTCGGTGTTAGTTTATCTCGCGTGGTCTGACTAACTAACTAGCCTGAAATCTAACCCAAGACCTATCATGCAGCAATGGTGCAAGCGTTTATAACGTTTGCAAGTCAAGTCCTTGACAAGTACCGTAGGTTGGTTATGATGAAAGTCACAGGAAAAAACAGTCGGGAAACTTACACGCGAGATCCATGGCTCACCGAGAGGTCTGGAGTAGCATAAGAATAATCCTGTCTAGATTTTAGGATGCTTATTACACAGTCCACTGTTTGTTCTGCTTTAATGTCACAATTTGGTGATCATGGGCTATATCATGAAGTATAGATGTGTCGGGCGGTCATCAAGGCGTTCTTTGAGTAGGGGTAACGTGAGCACGTAAATTACATTCTCCAGGAAGGAGTTCCAAGACTGTGACACACGAAGGGAGAAATAGTTTCGTCCGCAATCCAGCCGGCTGTACTGCGTGGCCAGCTTAAGTCGCTGACCCATCAGAAAGGTTTTTCGGCTGAATTTCAAAATATTGTGGCTGAAGTGGTTAGGATATTTAGGGTCTGACACACCATTATGTCATCTTCTCGTGGATGCTGATAACAACCGCTGTACGCTTTTACACTTTTCAGCCTAAGGAAGTAGGGAAAGTGCGACAAACCTCTGTCCTTCGTCGCCCTGCGCTGCGCAGTATCAAGCTTGCTAAGGCGGGGTCTCCTCTAGGGTTGCAACTTTTTGATAAGGTAATCTCGTGCGGCCTCAGGTACTCGCCAAGCATTTTCGGAACGGCTGAAGAGTCGAATTTCCCGAACGCCTTACGCAAGAGGCTGAAGTGCTGATTTGCTTTCCTCGATGTCTTTTAGGTCTATCTCTAACAGTCAAAATCATCTTGCACGAGTACGCCGAGAAGCCCGCTATTGAGTTTGTGCCGTTAGCCGATAGGCAATCTGAGTCTTATAATTCGAACCGGGATTCCCCCGAGGTAGTAATGCGTCGTTATTCTGCCCGAGGCTTACCACCACCCTCTCCATAGCATAATGCATTTTCGAACAATAGGCTTAACAAAGCCAGTGAGTAAAACAAAGAGGCACATCCTATATGTTGTCGAAAATTGCTTGAATGACCACGTATAACTGACCCCATAATCGGATCTGGCCTAAAATATAGAGTAACATCAGTTGACAACGTATAACTTTGGATGTATCCAAGAAAACACTTGGCAAGTGGCTCAACAAGGACGGTACTGCAAAAATGATGACTTACGTGAATATGATCTTGGATGGCTTAATGAAGAGTCAGAGATGTTAAGTCCTAGTCAGATTAATTGGTAGCAACTATTCACCAATAACAATGCCAGAGATGACAGAGGTGAAACTTCTTCAACGTTGCAAAGACGCTCAACCGAAGTCTATTCAACATGACCTTTCACTCACTGCTTCACTTGTGTCCGTTAACTGTAGTTTCTGCTGCGGCTAAATGTTCCTACTGCGTTGTTTAATTGCGTTATGCTTACTAAAGAGTGACTATTAAATTTGTGATGGTTTGAAGTACCCAGTGTGGAGTATAGCGATGATAAAGAACAACTCCGAATCTCGCCACTTTAGACGCAGTACTTGTGATTGAAATGGTAGAGGCCCACTTCTGAGCAAGCTGGGGCTTTAACTAAAATTGCGTATCGCAATCCAAACACACGGCAAGTACTCAAAAGCCCAGCAATGAACTTCTCACATTTGGTCCAGCGCTGCTGACGGAGCTCATTGGCTTGTGATAAAGACTTCGACTGTCGATCACTGCGTAACGGGGTCCCACTCCCAACTACGGATAGCTGTGCCTGAAATAGAAACGAAGACAAGAGCGGCATTAGATTGCAGAATTTTGAAAAGCAACTCCGAGATTGATCTTAACCTGTCACTGACACATCAGCCGCTTCGCTCTGAATGTAACTCGGTAAGCACTGTCTCTGTCAAACCCGATCGCCTTTGCACTACCCTTTTGTGGACCTGAACACTACCTGAAGTCCCATATATCTTTTGCAATCCACATGCTGTTCTTTTCACCCCCACAGTATTCCGGACTGTTGCTTCTGCTCATGTGCGGTGAACTCGCCTTGGCAATCGTTACAGTAACCGTTCAAGATGACGTAAGTGAAAATATTTGTGAAACGCTCTTCGGTAACATAGTTTATTGGTAAACAAGCTTTCAAATATTGGGAACGAACGTATAGAGAAGGTAGCCTAGAAACCTATACAATTCTCATCCAACAAAAAGCTTGGGGATTGTGTTAAATGTTGCCGTAAACCATGTGACAGAATAGTGCATTGGTGCAGTGAACAAGCTAATTTGTTTCTAGTGCAAAGAGAAAAACCCTATTAACCATCCTACAAGCAAATGGGAGATCCCTTTGGAAAAAAACGTTCATCCTAAGCCGCTTCAGAAAAGATACCGATTAATCTAGAGTCTAGACTGTATGTTAAGAAAATCCTTCTCAGACCAATGTCTGAGTAGTGACTGCTCTAAGGTAATTGGCACTTGTGAGAACGAAATTCCAAACTTTATATTGATTGTAATACCGTGAAAAAGGGAGAGAGGCCTCTGACATGCATTTATTATCTAACTTCACTGCAGCTAGCACGGAATGTTTGCTCCTATAAGAAACACCGTGGATAGCTTTGGTAATAAACCGTTGCTTTGGGTAACCTCAACCCGATAATTTGTACGTTGTTTTGAAATTTATGGCTGTCCTGAGCGGATATTAGAGATCAGCGTAACTCACTGAAGTTTTTCGACCACTCGACGTCAAACCAAAAGTAGTCACAAATCTAATGAACTAGCTCAAATGCCTGATTGTAATCTACAAGGCATCTGGGTACGTATGGCTAGATTAACTCGTTGCTAGTTTTGACTTCAAGTTTGCTTTGGTACATGTACCAGGTGGAGTGGAGATATCTGTAAAAACAGATAGTACCCCATTCCCCCCAACCTGAGCAGTGACGAAAAAGGTTCTGTTGTTCTCCAAGCTTGGTATTTTTGATGTAAAGGCTTCGTCACTAAACCAGATAACATCGGAGTCCAGCTTTAAAGAGCTGATCTACCAGCATTTTTATTACTGGTATGAGGTCAAGATTTGTCTTCAGGCTACCTCATCAGTTTTCGATTTGTACCGTTGATCCGTGGCACATTGCTACGTTCCGTAGGGAACATCTGGCCTTAAGTGTTTGTTACTTGAGTTCTGCTCAGAGGGCAATACTTTCATGAACTCACATGCTATCTATCTCCCTTCACTTCCTAATCTTTTTTTACTTTTTCCGAACCAAACTGATGAATTCTGCACTCAATTGCGTTGACATTAATGAGTTCTGGCAATATTGGCGGATGGCCAAGCTTTGTTCTGGTAGTCCGTGCTAAATTCCTTGTCTCCTCCACATAGCATCTTGCATATTCGAAGTTGGTTTCCTAAATTACACCACTCGTTTCATTTGTTCGCAGTCTGGCCTTAGCATGGAAGAGTTAGTTCCGGACCGTTTCCGTATGAGGCATCTTGATCTCTATATGTCTAAAATGTTTTCCATCTCGTCACCAACGCAGAGTTGTTAATGAAGTCTTTATCGTAACCTGTGCTGTTTTTAATTATTTGACCTACAGGTCCAGAAAAAGGCGAAAACTCAAATCATTCGAGCCATGTCCTATTACAGTGAGCGGAAAACAACGCAATTCGGTATCGATCTCATCCAACAAAAGGTATGTCGCGCTCGCATAAATTCGATCAGACACATCGCTATCCGTCTCAGAATGTCTGCATATTTTGTACGTGGTTTGGTTTGTCAATCCCCTGCGTGTCTACCGATACAGACCGGATTATAGCGTAGCCCTTCTAGCTGATGGAGAGGACTTGTGTGGATGAAATGCATACCAGTGTCGGGATGAAAATACGATGTCCATAATTCGGTTCACAGTGAGACAAGGTAGGATAAGGGAACCTGGTCTACTCGGTGATTTAAATTAGCAGGTTCTGGTTTGTGCGTTGATGTAATAGCAGATGACATTGGGGTCATGATATTCAGGGTGTTCGCTACTAGTAAGCTAGAAGCAGCCTCACTAGCACCGTCCCCTAGTGGTCTACTTCGGAATTTTCACCGAGAAATGAGTGTAAACTTTGCGAACATCAAATGTTTCAACAAAATGAAGCAAAGTAAATGACATCATCTGATGTCACAGAGGTCTAAAGCAAAGGAACTCACTAGCTCTACTGGTGACCTTTGATGAGCGCAAACAACACATTTCTGTGTGGGGTAGTGAACTAGGAATAATCCATAGCTCGCACAGAGCGTTGTGTCGTTACGGCAAAGACATGTTAACTTCACTGCAAGCTTTTTAGCGATAACTACAGCCTGATGGGTGACAATAATGTCATCGGAGAAGTTAGATTTCCGTATTCCTCAACAAAACCAACGTGACTTCTTGTCAATTATGTGGTCAAATGGCAGACTATTCTACAGTGTGAACAAATGTGTCAGGGAGGGAATATTTACAAGCGGCATTGTATTTATCTGTTTCGAGGAGATGGCTGGTTCGAAATTATAGTGAACTGTAAAGGTAAGCCATGTTTCAGCCAGCCTGTTCTATTGACTAATATTAGTACCTTCCGTACATCCAGATGCATCACCAGATATTTTATTTTATCAAACTTTACTCGGCAATGCTGGCACTACTCGGGGAGAGCTACCAAGAGGCATGTGAATTGACTCTTCGGTTGGAAAACACGTGAACACGTGAGCCATTTCCCGTCAGTGTCGATCTGAGAATGATGTACGGAGTATTTAGCGGTAGGTTCGAAGTTGCATCGTGGAAAAATAACTGAGCTCAAAGACAACCACCAAATCCAAGTTGAAAACTGTTACCTACGATTATTATTCCCTAAGCGAGCACAGACTACTCCTCACTTTCGCAAATGGCAGTTCGATACTTTCACTTTCGACTATCCTAAAAATGTAGACGCTTGTCACGTTTTCCTCTCATGAGGAAAAATCGAATCAATACAGCCCGTATATTTGCCGCGAATTGCTTTAAATTCCATGAAAGATTTTTGATCTCCGCGTTATATATTGCACATACCCGCAACCAGGATAAGTGCACGTTCAGGAAGAAGGGGGCTACAGCTTGACAGTGTAAATCCCACACTTGAGAGATGTAAGGGCGGTTTAACGCCGTCTTACAGGTAGTAGATTCCTTCGAATTATATCCGTTGGAAAACCTTACCCAAGTGGATAACATGTTAGTTCAGTGCCCAAAGGCGGTCGATACAAGAGGCGGTATATATTTCTGTCCGAACAGTGAGGCGGTAAGAAAACATAGAACATCACCGAGGTTGCTAAGCGACATCGGTTACACACATGAAGTAAACGTTCGTGGTCTTAAGAGGCCTCCAAGATGTTCTTCACCGTCACGCCGCAAATATTATCTCAGGCAAATAGTAACTTGGACTAGCTCAGGAAATTGTGAGAAACCGATCCGAAATAGGCAAAGGTTTATGGATCTAAACCTGAATTCAGCGAGCTGTGTACCAATAACTGCTTAGCACCTAAAAGGTCACCTGTTACTTCGACGAGTGGTATACAGTGTTCCAGTTGCTTCCCGTGTGACTGCAATGAGACAAGGCAACGTCATGTGGACGACTAATAGTGATTGGTTAAGTCGCAACTACTGATTCTAGTATCGGTGCAGTAGTAATATATTGTGCATCACAGATTTTAACGAAATAAGTAGTGAAGGACTATCGTCGTAGTAATTAAGGAACAGCTGTTTTGGCTCTGTAAGATATCACTTGCGTCTAGTACTTTCCTTCAGTTAACACCTCAGCAGCTGCTGTGATCACAGTTGCTCTCTGATAAGTGCCCTATCGCCTTGATTTGGTTTATATTGTGGTAGCGCGTACGCGCGGGCCTTACCACGACCGCACTTCGTAGCTTGTGATTGGATGCCTGTCCGTTCGCGATCAATACCAGGGTTGTTTTGAATATACTGAGTGCATGTACCGTTGGCGTGAATAGAAGTTTGTGTTGCGTACCAGTAGAGTTCTGCTTCCTCGTTCGGGGCTTTGGTCGTGTTTGTTCAAGACCCTGCGTGCAGGGGACTAGTGTACGTGTAGATACAACAGTGGCGTCTGGGCTGTGGACCATTACAATGGCATTTCACCTTCTACCTCCAGAAGCCTTTTGGTGCGATCATGCTACTAGACCTACGGAGAGTGATTAGATCCAATGGAGAACGTCTTTCACGAATTACTTGGACCTACTCCCAGCAACTACTACTTACGATGAGAAGCAAAAACTGAAACTACTTCGTCACGTGTTGGGCAATGAAGGTCAACGTTATTTCGATGCGTTAGATCTGCAGAAATTCGACACACTTACAAAGGCATTGGATGTACTCGATCAGTCATGGGGTGCACGGCCAAACATTTTCGCTGAAAGCTACAAGTTCTGCTGTTTGACGCAAGAAGATGCAGAGCCACTGGAACAGTTTGTCGCTCGTTTAATTCGGTCTGTAAAAACCTGTGACTATACTAGCATCCCAAAGAATACACTTGAGAGTGTTATGCTGACGCAGCAGTTGATAACCGGTATAAAGGATAATCGTATACGCGAAAAGCCACTTTCCGAAGATCCGTCAAAACTTACCTGGGAGAGAGCCATAGAGATCGCAAGACTAATAAAAGCCGCCGTTGAACATTCCAGCCTATTCAAGTCGAGTGATATACTAGAAGTCAGTAAGATTCAGCACAATGGTTCCAGTCAACCTCAGAATTCGACTGTTTCGTGCTATAGATGTGGGAGTTCTCGCCACAAAGCTGACTGTCAAACATGTCCGGCTCGTACAGCTGAGTGTAAAAGCTGTGTTAAACTGGGCCACTTCGCCAGATGCTGCCGCTCGCGTCGAGTCGCGTTAATTGACCAACATCATGATGTTTCCACCTCACCGACTACACCGAATCTTTTTTCTATCAGAAGACGATTACAACCAGAAACACGACGAATTGCTTCGCTGGAACCAAAGCTCCCTGCTCCTGACATACGTACCGTTACACTCCATGGGCTTAACACTTCTGTACCAGTGACTATGGAGCTAGACTCGGCATCGCCGATAACAATTATCCCGTCCAGCATTTACGACAATTACCTGCGAGACATTCCATTACATCCTACGTCGTATAAATTCGAATCGTACACAAATTCACGTGTGCAAATTCGGGGATATATAATGACGAAAATCAGTTTACTCTCAGTCGCATCTGATGTAGCTGTGTATGTTGCATCCGAAGACAGTCCAGCCTTCTTGGGGCGAAATGCTATGGTTGCCCTCAACATAACACCATCTATCGAGCGAATGCGCATCATGACAATCAAAACAGCAGTACTTAAAAGCTTATATCCCAAATTATTTGCTGAGTCGATTGGCCGGATTCCATCTGCTGCTCATCGAATATGCCTTAAAAAGGTCGCTAAACCGTTTTCGATTTCGCAGCCACGTCCTATTCCATTGGCCAAACGTACGATGGTAGAAAAGGCCATACAAGAGATGATTTCCAACGATTTGATAGAGCCAGTTAACTGTTCCGAATGTGTGCATCCCATGGTCACGGTGTTAAAGAAGGACGGTACTGTGCGCATATGCAACGACTTGAAAGCGTTGAACAGTCAGATCGTCGTCGAAAAATTCGTTCTTCCCACATTTGACGAGTTGTTGGTCAAGATAACTGGCGCGCGATTTTTCTCAAAACTAGACCTGAGGAAAGCCTTTTTCCACATGCCATTGACACCAGAATCCAGACCACTTACGGCTTTTCTGACATCGAGTGGTCTATTCCAGTACAAAGTCTTGCCGATGGGACTTAGCTCCGCTCCAGCAGCTTGGCAGAATTTTATGAATCACTCACTAGCAGATCTACCGGGACAAATCGCTTACTTGGATAATTTTTGCGTTTTCGGGAAATCAAGAGATGAGCACGACTCAAGGCTGCGCGCTGTGTTGCAGCGATTGGAGAGCCTAGATCTTCGGCTAAACCTGGAAAAGTGTATATTTTGTGCTACGGAGGTCGAGTTTTTTGGGTATGTCTTATCAGCTGGTGGAATTAGATCATGCGCAGCTAACACTCGAGCTATCACGGAAGCCCCTGTACCGAAGAATACATCCGAGGTTAAGCACTTTCTTAGTTTATGCTCGTACAACTTGCGCTATTTGCCCGATTTTGCAACTATAGCGGAACAATTGAGAATGCTGACAAAAGAAAAAGCTACGTTCGATTGGGGCTCTTCGCAGCAGTCGGCCTTTGAAGATATTAAAAGACGCCTCGTCTCCACCCCAATGCTGGCCATTTCGACGAAAACTGCCCAACATTCGTCTCAACGGATGCGTCAAACATCGGTTTAGGAGCGGTCTTGTCTCAAATTCAGAACGGGGAGGAAAATGTGATTGCATATGCTTCCAGAAAGTTATCCCCTACTGAAGTTTCATATTCCGCAGGTGAAAGGGAGGCCCTGGCCTGTGTATGGGCCTGTGAAAAATGGCACCTGTTTCTGTTTGGTCGGAGATTTACATTGCGCATGGATCATGCTGCTCTAACTACCCTCCTCAGCCGAGGAACCAATGGTCACAGGCCACTACGGATTAACCGCTGGTATGCGTGGTTACTGAACTATGATTTTCAAATCATCTTCCGCCCTAGCTCCGAGAACCGTATG